TCGGCCAAAACGGAAGAGAATTCCGTCCAAGGGGGAGGTAGTGCAACGTATACGTTGTGGTCGTTGCGGAAAAGTGGGCAATCACAATAGGAAGACATGCAAAGAGCCATTACAGTTGGGCTGCCATATGATTTAATTTGGTTGTTAAGAAACTGGGTTATTTGGTTTTTTTAAAAAAATTCCTTTTTTTTTTACATCAGTCATTCACTTTCTGTTATTGGTTTAATTTGTTTAGTAGGACATACGTTTTGGGTCCCCGCTACTGAACACTAACACTGCTCCTTTGAAACACAACCATTTAATTCTCAAAGGACGCTTTCATTAACACTGTGAATACATGAAATAAGGAATTGGTGCCGTTTAAGTTTATAAATTTGTTCACATCATACCAGAACATTCGCCCAAAGTGGACTCTGCCAACCTGTATCCGGAACGGCAATGGATTTTTAATGTTTCTGTGGCTGCTTACAATCCATTGTCATTGCACAAAACATGTACCCATTACCAAATGACTTACAATAAATTGAACAGGAAGGTAATTTTATGTTATGCTCAACATGGTATCATCACAATTCTGATTAAGCTGGCAATGCGAAATTAATCTTTACTCGTGTCATACTTACCATGTGGTTGACGTGCTCAGTCGTTGCATGTCCACTTCCATATACATCAAACCACGCATACTCCCGTGGTGGAAAACAGGTTTACAAAACTGAGTCTCGTCATGCCCAACTCCTGCATACATCACACCATGTTCACATACCCAGGCCCATCTGCCATTTAAAAACAATGTACTTCACATGACATAAAAGTGTAATGCACTGTGAAACTGTTATTATGCAAAAGGTGAGACAATTTGAATAGCTTACTAAATAATATCAACATTCATATCCACAAAATACTGGATCCTAACCCAAGATTAAACCGTTTGCCACTTCTGCATTACCAAAAAAGTAACGTATATGAAACTAGTTTTTGCGTCCTACTTTTATGTGTTTCCAGACTAACAAAACATTATATACGCCGATACGGGAAAAACAGAATAAAACATCCTAATGCTGTTGTTGCAACTTGCGCACTGGGAAATGTCTTCTCAACTTGTTATAATGTCCTCCCACGGAGTCCACTGCCCGGGTCACTTAAGAACATTTCCACCATTGCAGCTCGTAGCCCAGTTGGGGTCAGCCCATCCATCGAAGTATTCACTTCTGCACCACGAATGTACTGCCTGATTATGAAGCACACGAAAATCCCACAATCCGACCTGCACTAACAAACACCGGTGTCAATGTCACAGACGTGATACATCATCAAAACAGTACGCTCAAAATAAAATGAACATTTCTTACGACTCTGGAACTTGTTGTGGGCAATCCACAACAGATACAAAACTGCCATCAAACAGCTGTGCGCCAACAGCTGTAGGTGTAACTCGAGGCTTCACAAATTTGTTGTGGTGATCAGCCACCCATTGTTTCTGTCCATTTTTCAAATGTCAGTGCAGTTTTGTCCACAGTAACATTAACATTTTCCACATTGCAATCTGCCCATAATGCACATTGTAAACTGAAATTTGTAAACAGCACTTACCACTTTTAGAGCCTCATTGTAGTGCTCATCGCGCACTCCACGTCTTGGCCGCATCGAGTTGTAATGTTTCCAATTCCCACTTTCTGAATCGCACGCCATGACTGTCCAATGGTTGGCATTGTAGATTGGGATTACTGAGACCCTAATGCATGAGAAATGGCAAGTAAACACCATATTTACATGTCTGCCATCATGCAAGAGGGTCCGAATAAGTGTCCGGGTGTTTAAACCCTAATGCATGAGAAATGGCAAGTAAACAGCATAATTACATATTTGCCCTCATGCAAGAGGGTCAGAACAAGTGTCCGAGTGTTTAAACCCCAATGCATGACAAATGGCAAGTAAACACCATAATTACATATCTGCCATCATGCAAGAGGGAGAAATGGCAAGTAAACACCATAATTACATATCTGCCCTCATGTAAGAGGGTCGGAATAAGTGTCCGAGTGTTTAAACCCTAATGCATGAGAAATCGCAAGTAAAAACCATAATTACATATCTGCCATCAGGCAAGAGGGTCCGAATAAGTGTCCGAGTGTTTAACCCCTAATGCATGAGAAATGGAAACTAAACACCATAATTACATATCTGCCATCATGCAAGAGGGTCCGAATAAGTGTCTGAGTGTTTGAACCCTAATGCATGAGAAATGGCAAGTAAACACCACAATTACATATCTGCCATCATGCAAGAGGGTCCGAATAAGTGTCCGAGTGTTTAAGCCCTAATGCATGAGAAAGCCAAGTAAACACCATAATTACATATCTGCCATCATGCAAAAGGGTCTGAATAAGTGTCCGAGTATTTATACCGTAATGCAAGAGAAATGGCAAATAAACACCATAATTACACATCTGCCATCATGCAAGAGGGTCCGAACAAGTGTCCGGGTGTTTAAACCCTAATGCATGAGAAATGGCAAGTATACACCATAATTACATATCTGCCATCTTTCAAAAGGGTCTGAATAAGTGTCCGAGTGTTTATACCGTAATGCAACAGAAATGGCAAACAAACACCATAATTACACATCTGCCATCATGCAAGAGGGTCCGAACAAGTGTCCGAGTGTTTAAACACTAATGCATGAGAAATGGCAAGTAAACACCATAATTACATATCTGCCCTCATGTAATAGGGTCGGAATTAGTGTCCGGGTGTTTAAACCCTAATGCATGAGAAATGGCAAGTAAACACGATATCTACATGTCTGCCATCATGCAAGAGGGTCCGAATAAGTGTCCGAGTGTTTAAACCCTAATACATGAGAAATGGCAAGTAAACAGCATAATTACATATTTGCCCTCATGCAAGAGGGTCGGAACAAGTGTCCGAGTGCTTAAACCCCAATGCATGACAAATGGCAAGTAAACACCATAATTACATATCTGTCATCATGCAAGAGGGTCCAAAAAAGTGTCCGAGTGTTCAAACCCTAATGCATGAAAAATGGCAACTAAACACCATAATTACATATCTGCCATCATGCTAGAGGGTCCGAAGAAGTTTCTGAGTGTATAAACCCTAATGCATGAGAAATGGCAAGTAAACACCATAATTACGTATCTACCATCCTGCAAAAGGGTCCGAATAAATGTCCGAGTGTGTAAACCCTAATGCATCAGAAATGGCAAATAAACACCATAATTACATATCCGCCATCATGCAAGAGGGTCCGAATAAATGTCCGAGTGTTTAATCCCCAATGCATGAGAAATGGCAAATAAACACCATAATTACATAACTGCCATCATGCAAGAGGGCCCAAATAAGTGTCCGTGTGTTTGAACCCTAATGCATGAGAAATCGCAAGCAAACACCATAATTACATATCTGCCATCATCCAAGAGGGTCCAAATAAGTGTCCGAGTGTTTAAACCCTAATGCATGAGAAATGGCAAGTAAACACCATAATTACATATCTGCCATCATGCAAGAGGGTCCGTATAAGTGTCTGAGTGTTTAAGCCCTAATGCATGAGAAATGGCAAGTAAACACCATAATTTCATATCTACCATCTTGCAAAAGGGTCTGAATAAGTGTCCGAGTATTTATACCGTAATGCAAGAGAAATGGAAAGTAAACACCATAATTACACATCAGCCATCATGCAAGAGGGTTCGAACAAGTGTCCGGGTGTTTAAACCCTAATGCATGAGAAATGGCAAGTAACACCATAATTACATATCTGCCATCATGCAAGAGGGTCCGAATAAGTGTCCGAGTGTTTAAACCCTAATGCCTGAGAAATGGCAAGTAAACACCATAATTACATATCTGCCAGCATGCAAGAGGGTCCAAATAAGTGTCCGAGTGTTTAAACCATAATGCATGAGAAATGGAAAATAAACACCATAATTACATGTTTGCCATCATGCAAGAGGGTCGTAATATGTGTACGGGTGTTTAAACCCTAATGCATGGGAAATGGCAAGTAAACACCATAATTACAAATCTGCCATAATACAAGAGGGTCGGAATAAGTGTCCGAGTGTTTAAACCCTAATGCATGAGAAATGGCGATTAAACACCATAATTACATATCTGTCATCATGCAAGAGGGTCTGAATAAATGTCCGAGTATTTATACACCAATGCAAGAGAAATGGCAAATAAACACCATAATTACATATCTGCCATCATGCAAGAGGGTCCAAATAAGTGTCCGAGTGTTTAAACCCTAATGCGTGAGAAATGGCAAGCAAAGACCATAATTACATATCTACCATCATGCAAGAGGGTCAGAATAAATGTCCGAGTGTTTAAACCCTAATGCATGAGAAATGGCAAATAAACACCATAATTACATATTTGCCATCATGCAAGAGGGTCCAAATAAGAGTCCGAGTGTATAAACCCTAATACATGTGAAATGGCAAGTAAACAGCATAATTACGTATCTGCCCTCATGCAAGAGGGTCGGAACAAGTGTCCGAGTGTTTAAACCTTAATGCATGAGAAATGGCGAGTAAACACCACAATTACATATCTGTCATCACGCAAGAGGGTCCGAATAAGTGTCCGAGTGTTTAAACCGTAATGCATGAAAAATGGCAACTAAACACCATGATTACATATCTGTCATCATGCTAGAGGGTCCAAATAAGTGTCTGAGTGTATAAACCCTAATGCATGACAAATGGCAAGTAAACACCATAATTACATATCTACCATCATGCAAAAGGGTCCGAATAAATGTCCGAGTGTGTAAACCCTAATGCATCAGAAATGGCAAATAAACACCATAATTACATATCAGCCATCATGCAAGAGGGTCCGAATAAATGTCCAAGTGTTGAAGCCCTAATGCATGAGAAATGACAAGTAAACACCATAATTACATATCAGCCATCATGCAAGAGGGCCCAAATAAGTGTCCGTGTGTTTGAACCCTAATGCATGAGAAATCACCAGTAAACACCATAATTACATATCTGCCATCATCCAAGAGGGTCCGAATAAATGTCCGAGTGTTTAAACCCTAATGCATGAGAAATGGAAAATAAACACCATAATTACATATCTGCCATCATACTAGAGGGTCCGAATAAGTGTCCGAGTGTTTAAGCCCTAATGCATGAGAAATGGCAAGTAAACACCATAATTACATATCTGCCTTCTTGCAAAAGGGTCTGAATAAGTGTCCGTGTATTTATACCGTAATGCAAGAGAAATGGCAAATAAACACCATAATTACACATCTGCCATCATGCAAGAGGGTCCGAACAAGTCTCCGGGTGTTTAAACCCTAATGCATGAGAAATGGCAAATAAACACCATAATTACATATCTTCCCTCATGTAAAAGGGTCGGAATAAGTGTCCGAGTGTTTAAACCCTAATGCATGAGAAATAGCAACTAAACACCATATTTACATATCTGCCATCATGCAAGAGGGTCCGAATAAGTGTCCGAGTGTTTAAACCCTAATGCATGAGAAATGGCAACTAAACACCATAATTACATATTTGCCATCATGCAAGAGGGTCCGAATAAGTGTCTGAGTGTTTAAACCCTAATGCATAAGAAATGGTAAGTAAACACCATAATTACATATCTGCCATCATGCAAGAGATTCAGAATAACTGTCCGAGTGTTTAAGCCCTAATGCATGAGAAATGGCGATTAAACACCACAATTACACATCTACCATCATGCAAAGGGTCCGAATAAGTGTACGACAGTTGAAACCGTAATGCATGCGAAATGGCAAATAAACAACATAATTACATATCTGCCATCATGCAAGAGGGTCCGAATAAATGTCCGACCGTTTAAACCCTAATACATGAGAAATGGCAAGTAAAAACACCATAATTACATATCTACAAAAGAGGGTCTGAATATGTGTCCGAGTGTTTAAACCCTACTGCATGAGAAATGGAAAATAAACACCATAATTACATATCTGCCATCATGCAAGAGGGCCCGAATAAGTGTACGAGTGTTCGAATAGTGATGCTCGAGAAATGGCAATTAAATGCCATAATTACATATCTGCCATCATGTAAGAGGGTCTGAATAAGTATCCGAGTGTTTAAACCCTAATGCATGAGAAATGGAAAATAAACACCATAATTTCATATCTGCCATCATGCAACTGGGTCCGAATAAAAGTCCGAGTGTTTAAGCCCTAATGCCTGAGAAATGGCAAGTAAACACCATAATAACAAATCTGCCATCATGCAAAAGGGTCCGAATAAGTGTCCGAGTGTTTAAATCCTAATGCATTAGAAATGGCAAGTAAACACCATAATTACATATCTGCCATCATGGAAGAGGGTCCGAATAAATGTCCGAGTGTTTAAACCCTAATGCATGAGAAATGGCAAATAAACACCATAATTAAATATCTGCCATCATACAAGAGCGTCCGAATAAGTGTCCGAGTGTTTAAGCCCTAATGCATCAGAAATGGCAAGTAAACAACATAATTACATATCTGCCACGATACAAGAGGGTCCAAATAAGTGTCCGAGTGCTTAAACCCGAATGCATGAGAAATTGCAAGTAAACACCATAATTACATATCTGCCACCATGCAAGAGGGTCCGAATAAGTTTCCGAGTAATTAAACCTTAATGCGTGAGAAATGGCAAATAAACACCAAAATTA